AAATGTTGCTCTCAAAGCTGTCATGAATTGTTAATATGGAATAAGTGCTCATCAACTTACAAACAACAAGTGAGCCAGCCAAAATAGTAAGATACTTACTTAAAAAATGTGAAATTAATATTCACACCATATATATGGAATCAAGAATTTAAAAAGGGTTTTATATAATAACCTCAAAAATAATACTTGGTTTTATTATTTTTGTGGCAAATCTTATTAAGTTGTGTGACATTATTGGGTGTTTTATGAATTTGGTTTGATGTGAAAATATTAGAATTAAATGAGTTTAATATTAAATTTGGACTAAAATGCCTTTATGATTTAAGTTTATGATTTTTTTTAATGAAGTAGGCCCGTTTAGGCCCGGCCCGATGGGCTTTCTGAAGCCCGGCTCGTGGGTGGGGCTTGGGCTTTGAATTTTCTAATAAAACCCGACCTGGCTCGGCTCGATATTTTCTCTCTCCTCTTTAAAGCCCAGCCCGGCCCGGCCCATCGACGAGCCCTACAGCCGAAATTATAGAAACGCATTACAACACAGAACCATTAAAGTACATATCAAAGTAGCAAATTTAGAGTAGGTTTTCTAATTGAAGTCACTTCTCCATGACAGATTAGCATAAAGATGTATGTGATCGTAAATTGTTAAACGTTGCTCTCAAAGTTGTCATGAATTGTTAATATGGAATAAGTGCTCATCAACTTACAAACAACAAGTGAGCCAGCCAAAATAGTAAGATAATTACTTAAAAAATGTGAAATTAATATTCACACCATATATATGGAATCAAGAATTTGAAAAGGGTTTTATATAATAACCTCAAAAATAATACTTGGTTTTATTATTTTTGTGGCAAATCTTATTAAGTTGTGTGACATTATTGGGTGTTTTATGAATTTGGTTTGATGTGAAAATATTAGAATTAAGTGAGTTTAATCTTAAATTTGGACTAAAATGCCTTTATGATTTAAGTTTATGATTTTTTTTAATGAAGTAGGCCCGTTTAGGCCCGGCCCGATGGGCTTTCTCAAGCCCGGCTCATAAGTGGGGCTTGGGCTTTGAATTTTCTAATAAAACCCAACTTGGCCCGGCCCGATATTTTCTCTCTCCTCTTTAAAGCCCGGCCCGGCCCGGCCCGATGGGCTTGGGCTTGGGTTTGAGCACTCGACTGGATCTTACCATCTAGGTTTTGATTAAAGGATAGTTGGCTTAGCAAAATCCAAACGCAAACTTGTGTGAAATTTGAAAGGTCATAAGGCGAAGTAAGATGGAGTAAAACAAGGAGAGAGAAGAAAAAAATTACTGCTTTTCAGTTGTAAAATGTAAAACATGAGAAAATGGTACAAAGACTAGCCAAGGGACAAATGCAACCGAACACCCCCACCCACAAAAAGAAGAAAAAAAAAAAAAAAAAAAAAAAAAAAAAAAAAAAAAAAGCAATGGGGCAAATATATTATGTAATTATATGAGAATTTTCCAACATTAGAAAGTCTACCACCTAATTCCCTATTCGTCGTTTGAGTGAGGTAACTAAGTGTTACATTGTGTCAATTGTTAAACGTTATCGTAAATAGGTAAATTTGTGTCAATTGATAGCATCTCCAAGCACTTAATCACATCAAGCCAATTAGCCACTGGGCGGGCTATAAATACGTTGGGTCTGAAACCTCGCACTTCATCACATTATTCAAGCCTTGAAGCTTTGAAGCCTAGATTCTTCATTTGCTATACATAATTCTCTTGTTATCTCTCTCAGCCTTCTCACATCAAGCCAATTAGCCATGGGCTGCTACCAAACTTTCTTCTTCAAACTCTCATTTTCACTTGTTCTTCTCCTCATCGTTGGTGTTGGACTTGGAGGAGTAGCTTCTGCTGAGTTATCCGCTAGTTTTTATGACAAAACTGCCCCAATGCCCTGTCCACAATCAAATCCGCAGTGGACTCAGCGGTGCACAAAGAAGCTCGCATGGGAGCTTCCTTGCTCCGTCTGCATTTCCACGATTGTTTTGTTAACGTAAGTTTGGGACCCTTTCTTGTCTCAGTTTCTTTTAAATTTTAGTAAATTTGGCTTACACCATTCAAATTCAATTTGCCGTACCTAAAACCCTTCACTTTTTGTTCCTATAAATAATACCCAATTTGTATAAGTAAAAACCCATGACTAGGATATAACTCAGCAAGTTACCTAATTAAGTATAAAATCTGATTTATTGTACTTTTCCGATTCCAAAAATACCCCCAACTAAGCCATTATTGCATTTTGTATATTAATGTAG